TGGTTAGGCGGGTTCCCCAAACCCCCGTGTTCAAAAGATTACTTGCAAACTGCAACGATGTCTTACGTTAGACAACCCAAACCCACAGGTGGCAAACAGTGCGTTTCCCTACACCGGAATGCACAGCACAAAAGTACCATGCGAACGGTTGCAATGCATTTCCAAATGTAGGGCATGCAGTGCGGTTTGAGCTTATTCAAAATTAAAGGCCTCAAATCGCACCGCACTGAATTGCATAGGAATGCGCAGCACATTCCTGTCTGATTAATGGTGTGAACTGGGGCTTAAAGTGTCACTAAACCACGGACCGGCATTCACTATATCCGCTCTCCCCGGACCGGCATTCACTATATCCGCTCTCCCGGACCCGGCATTCACTATATTCGCTCTCCCCGGACCCCGCATTCACTATATCTGCTCTCCCCGGACCCTGCATTCACTATATCCGCTCTCCCCGGACCCTGCATTCCCTATATCAGGTCTCCCCGGACCGGCATTCACTATATTCGCTCTCCCCGGACCCCGCATTCACTATATCCGCTCTCCCCGGACCCGGCATTCACTATATCCGCTCTCCCCGGACCCTGTATTCCACTATATCTGCTCTCCCCGGACCCTGCATTCACTATATCCGCTCTCCCCGTACCCTGCATTCACTATATCCGCTCTCTCCGGACACCGCCATTAACTATATCCGCTCTCTCCGGACCCTGCATTCACTATATCCGCTCTCCCCGGACCCTGCATTCACTATATCTGGTCTCCCCGGACCCTGCATTCATTTATATCCGGTCTCCCCGGACCCTGCATTCACTATATCCGGTCTCCCCGGACCCTGCATTCACTAATATCCCTTCTCCCCAGAACTGCATTCACTATATCCCTTCTCCCCAGAACCTGCATTCACTATATCCCTTCTCCCAGAACTTGCATTCACTATATCTGGTCTCCCTGGACCCTGCGTTTACTACAGTTGTGTCCAAAATTATTCAACCCCCAATGCTGTAAAGGGGTTTAGGGACTATGTGTACATTTGGGAATTTGTATTCAGAATAAATCCTTACAAGGACGTTGTACTACCAAATGCAACTAAAATGACATCAATATGTTTATGTAATTACAGTAGTTACAATGGTTCTTTTATGTGGTTTCTTCATTGCACAAAATAATTCAACCCCTTAAAGACTTCCTTCTGAAGAACAGGAGGGTTCATACAGGTGCTTTCCATCAGGGGTATTGAAAACACCTGTGGATGTCACGAGCAGAATCAAGCATAATAAGCACCAATTAGGCAGCTTTTAAAATGACTGTGATACTCAAAAGGGTGCCCCCTCTCTTTTAGACATTTACTGTTGTGGTTTACATCATGGTGAAGGCAAGAGAATGGTCCAGGAAGACAAGGAGAATAGAGGTGATTTTTCTCTTCACAGGAAGGCAATGGCTTATAAGAAGATTTGCAAAAGATGTTTAAACAAACCAAGAAGCACCTTAGGAATGCATCATTCGCCAAATTCAGGGCAAAGGGGCACTGTTTGAAACGCTACCTTTGGTCGTGGCAGAAAGAAGATGCTGACTCTCCGACGGCTGTGCGCTACGAGCGTAGATTTAGCGTAGAGTGGAGAGAATAGTCCCCGTGTGACTGCTGAGGAACTGAGAAAAGATTGGTCAGATGTGGGTACAGAAGTTTCAGCCCCGACAATAAGCCGCACACTGCGTAATGAAGGCCTTCCGTGCCAGAACTCCCAGGCGTAACCCCTTGCTGTCTCAAAGAATAAGAAGAGTCGACTGCAGTATGCCAAAAGCCATGTGGACAAACCACAAAAGTTGGTGGGATAGTGTTCTGTGGACTGATGTGAACAAAATTAGAACTGTTTGGGCCCATGGTAGTCAACGCTATGTTTGGAGGAGGAAGAACAAGGCCTATGATGAAAAGAACACCTTGCCTACTGTGAAGCATGGATGGATGGTCACTCATGCTTTTGGGGCTGTTTTTGCTTCAGCAAGTGTTACAGGGAAGGCTTCAGCTGTGTGCAAGGTACCATGAATTTTTTCAGTACCAGGAGCTATTGGATGGAAACGTGTGCGTCCGTCACACACTGAGGCTTGGGAGACGTTTGGACCTTTAAACAGGACAATGATCCCAAGCATACCCCCAAGTCCACTAGAGCATGGTTGAAAGAGGAAAGGCTGGAACATTTTGGAGTGGCCATCGCAGTCACCAGACTTAAATCCGATTGAGAACCTCTGGTGGGACTTAAAGAAAGCAGTGCAGTGCGCAAGCCTAAGAATGTGACTGAACTGGAGGCCTTTGCCCATGAAGAATGGGCGAGATACCCGTAGATCGCTGCAAGACATTGTGTAAGTTTATGCTTCACTTTTAAAAAAAGTGTTATAACTTTTAAAAAGGAGGGTTGTACTAAGTCTAAGTTTGAATGTCATTTGGGGGGTTGAATAAAAGGAAAATGCTGGGGAGCCCCAAAAAAGAATTTGTTTTTTATTTCATTTATAACGTTATGTTATATTTGTTGACCTACAAGACCCTTTCTTTAAGGTAAATGAAGCAAGATAAATAAAATGATAAAAAAGAAAATGTAAAACGGGCCCAAAAACACTCAATTTCAGGGGGGGTTTGAAAAAATTTTTTGGGACAAAACTGTATTTTGGGTTTTTCCCTAACCTGGAATTTACAGGTTTTGGCCCTGCTTTTTTGGGCTCCGGGATCTTTAAAACTAGGTTTCCCAAAACCCTTAATTCATTTTAATTGGGTTCCTTTGGATGATTTCAAATGGTCTTAAACTTTTTCCCGGGAAATTTAAAAATGAAATTTTGGAAAATTTTTATGTTTTCCTTTTTTTCATTCGTAAAAAAGAGTCCCCTTCAAAAACGGGTTTTGGCTTTGAGAATTTTTTAAAAAACCTTTAGAGGAAGTTTTAAAATTTCTTTTATTTTATGAGGCTCTAACCCCCCCTCTTTCAAAAAAAAGGGACCCCCTTTTAATTCTTTAAACCCCCCAAAGAAAAAAAAATTCAGATCAGACAAAATTTTGGGAAAAGCGTCAATCCCCAAAGAAAAAGAAGGAGGGGATTGGGGGAAAGAAAAGGGGAAGGATAGAGGGAAAAGGTCAAAATGGGGTTTTTCCCTTTTTGGAGTTAAATTTTCCCTTGGGTTTCCCAGGGGTTTTTTATAAAAATCATTGCTTTAATGATTGCAGGAGTTTGGTACCTTTGGTTGGGGGTTTAAGAACATTTTTATTTTTTAAACAGCGGAAAAATTTTTTTTTTTAAAAAATAAAAATTAGCTTTTTTCAGCAATTTTTTTTTTTTTTTTTTTTAAAAGGACCTTTAACCTGAAGGAAATTTGACCCGGGCCAATCCCCAAGGCCCAAAGGAATAAACCCATTTTTTCGTTTTTTGGGTTTGGCCCAAAACCAAAAAAGGGGAAAGGCCCTGTTACCTTTGTTCGTAAAAGATAAAGGGGATAATTAAAAATGGACTAAAGAAAAAAAGAGGAACAGTTTAACACATTATAATATACCGTATTTGCCGGCGTTTTAAAAACGACTTTTTGACCTTTAAAATTTTCCTCAAAAGTCGTTGGGGTCGTCTTATCACGCGGTCACATGGTTAGGGGGGGCTGCCGGCATTAAAGTACAGGGGTTTGCAGGGGCTGAGTCTCTTACCTGGATCCAGTCCCACGACGATCGTCCGGAAGCGCGGCGTATCCTTCAGTTCGTGCCACTGGATGTTCGTTGCGGTTTCTGCGCGCTCCGCCTTTCCTCTCCGTTGACTTTGGCGCCAGAAAACCTGGTAGCTCAGGAAAGGCACACTGGCGGCCAATCACCGGTGAGGGGGGCGGAGTCGAGGCGGCCCCGGAAAATTGAGTGCCGGTAGCAGCAGGTAAGTGCTCTGTGTAGAGGTGCTTCTGCAACCACATTTGCTGGCTGCAGCAGCACCATACGAGGTACAGGGTAGGCAAGTCTCAGTGGGAGGAATCGTGCCCATCCTTGGGTGTCACTGATATCCAATGATGGGGCACTATTCCTCCCACTTTATACCCCCAATGTTGGGGCACTATTCCTCCACATGATACCAAACGAATGGGGCACTATACCTCCCACTGACAACCAACGATGGGGCACTGTTCCCTCCCCCCCACTGACACCGCACAACGATGGGGCACTATCCCCCCCCCCCTGACCGAACCAACCACCAACAATGGGGCACGATTCCTCCCACCCACTGACACCAAAGAAGGGGCACTATTTCACCGTCCTCACTGACACCTTGATGAAATGGATATACACCATTCTCCCCACTGACTCCTATGATGGGGCAACTATTCCTTGCACTGATACCCAATGATGGGGCCTATTCCCCCCACTGATACCAATGATGGCGGCACTATTTCCTCCCCATCTGATGCAATGATGGGGCAACTATTCCTCCCACTGATACCAATGATGGGGCCACTGTTCCCTCCCCAACTGACACACAATGATGGGGCACCTATTTCCTCCCACTGACAACCAATGATGGGTCACCATTCCTGCCACTGATACAATGATGGGGCACCTATTCCCCCCACTGATACCAATGATGGGGTACTATTCCTCCCATGATACCAATGATGGGGCACTATTCCTCCCACTGACATCAATGATGGGGCACTATTCCTATTCCTCCCACTGGTTTGCATTGGAAGAGGGTAGTCTTATTACGCGAGTATAGCCCAAACACTACATTTATAGCAGGAAAAGTAGGTGGGTCGTCTTAATACGCCCAGTCGTCTTATACGCCGGCAAAATACGGGTAGGTAATTCTCTTATCACTAAGAATTTCCTCACATGTAGGTGTTTAGACATGTTCGTATTTGAAGATCACTTTCAAGGAGATTTTTTTTAATCTACTCAAGTATTTTGTTTTAAATGCATGTGGAGAACATTTTATGTGCAACTCATCATGGCACTAATCCTTCTAATGGCAATGAGTAGCACTGAGAGGAAGTAAAGCCTAAGAACATAGCGGCCATTGTAGTCCATTATATGGGATAATGTGCTGGGGGTAGGTGAAACAGATGCACGTTAAGCTTTGTTTTTTGAATCAAACATGATACATTCTAAGTAAAAATTAGAAAAAAAAAAAAACAAAGTTCTAAAGTTTGTGAAATCATATGACCTTTTGCAGTTAACAGACATGAATTATACAGATTCTACAAGTGGATTTAACTAAAGCACTGTTTTGCAAGCATACAGCTGCTAAAGTTATTTCCAAAACATAAGCGAGGCCAATATCATTGAAGATTTCAACTGCAAAGGTTTGCTTGGATTATGTCCATCATCTTTAGCATCTTCAGTCGGACCTAAAAGCCCCATTTTTTTCAGTCTGGTTATGGTTTATCTTATCACAATGGTGGAAAGATACATTATTTTTCCTACATACAGTAAAACTGAAGTATTTTAGTCTTTTCTTGGGAAACATGTAAACAGATGGACAAAACACAAATTTGTTCCAATCAATTTTTGTGTGTTTTCCAACCTCTTAGCATGTATTGTGATTGTTTGTCAAACTCTGACTCATTTTTTATACAATAAAAAACATTGTTTCATGGTGATAGCCTTTACTTATCCAAAAAGAATATGATTACATTTGGAGCAGAATAGAAACATTTCTCCATTAAAAGGAAGGAATTATTCCAAAGCCAATCCTTGCTTTGCCTGAAGAGCATATTTAATGTTAAATAAAAAAAATTTGACACTGAGAAATGTGAGGGA